AGAGAACAATGATTCATACCCGGAGTTTGCTTACAAGTTAATGGCCAACATGGGGGAGTGGCTGAAAGAGGCAAAGGCGTATGGGAATCATGACAAGGTGCTCGAGTGTATCGGTCTGGAACAATTCTGTCAAAGGTTACCAGAAAAGGTGAGGTTCTGGGTTCAGGATAGACCAGACGTGAACACCGTAACAAAAGCCGCAGAGCTCGCTGAAGAATTCGTTACGCGCCGCGCCCTCGGGGCAAACAGCGAGCCTAAAAGGGAAAAATTCCTACTACCAAATAAGGCACCGTTTAGAAAACAACCGACAAGTCTCGCACAAAAGGGTGAGGAAAACAATTCATCTAACCATGGGGCGTCGGCAGAGGCAAGCAAAAGGAAATTTGAGGCGAGAAAACCGGCTGCTTGTTTCAATTGTCACGAAACAGGGCACTTCGCGAAACACTGCCCGAAAGAAAAGGTGGCCTTTTTATCTATAAATGAAGCCGACGAGAACATGAAGTTGTTAGAGCCCTATATGTACGACCTTACCGTGAACGGCAAGCAGTGTCGGGTTCTTAGAGACTCCGCAGCCACTATGGACGTAGTTCATCCGTCTTTTGTTCAGTCCGGACAGTATTCAGGAGACTGTGCCTGGATTAGACAAGCCGTAGAAGCAAACAGTCAGTGCCTTCCCGTAGCTAAAGTTGTCCTTAAAGGCGCATTTGGTACGTTGGAAACGGAAGCCGCGGTATCGCCATATCTACCCCCTCAGTATCCTTACTTATTTTCAAATAAGTCAGATCAAATGCTGAAGGAGAAAGGTCTAACGTTGGGAGAAGGCATAGTGCAGGCACTGACTAGATCGAAGGCACGTGCGCTGGCTGCGAGAGCAACATTCACTGAGGCAAACAAGCCTCAAATCGACAACGGGCCTGGTTGCGAGTTGGACACCACGGAAACAAATCGACTTGTGGGAGAACAGGCTGCAGAAGCCGTAGTCGCGGAGGCAACCATTCCTAAAGGCGACGTTGAACCTCCTCCCGAATTGGAAGGGGTCAATTACGCCTCATTGACCGAGCAAATAGAAAATGCCGTTGCTCCCAAGCCGATTCCTGGTAGTACAGAGGATAGCACAGAGGGTGACACATTCCAGGTACTAGGAACTACAAAAGAGTTGTGTGTCATGCCAACTTCGGATAATTTCAGTCGGCTGCTGCAGGTGAGCCCCGCTTCATTAATAACCGAACAAAAGGGTGACCCAACGCTTAAGCAATTCCAGGACAGTTCGAAAGAGGGAATCGCCAAACGAAATGTGAGATTCCAAGAGAGGAGCGGCATACTCTATCGAAAATATCTAGATAGGCGAGGAGTAGAATTTGACCAGGTAGTCGTACCTCAGGCGTATCGTCAGGATTTGCTTAGTTTGGTGCATGGAGAATCATGGTCAGGCCATTTAGGCGTAAAGAAGACGAAAAATCGTCTCTTACAGGAATACTACTGGCCTGGATGCTTTAAAGATGTAGAGAGGTTTGTAAAATCTTGCGATGTGTGTCAGCGAGTGGGTAAGCCGGGAGATAAGGCGAAATTTCCAATGAAGCTGGTACCCGTAATCACGGAACCCTTTCGTCGGTTGGTAATTGACACAGTAGGTCCTTTGCCCAAGACAACTTCAGGCTACCGTCACATCCTGACCTTAATCTGCCCAGCTACTAAATTTCCAGAGGCGGTCCCGCTAAAAGAGCTAAGTTCCGTGGAAGTAGTGAACGCACTTCTGTCCGTGTTTGCCCGGGTAGGCTTTCCTGCCGAGATACAATCAGACCAGGGCACCATTTTCACGAGTGCCTTAACGACAACCTTTCTAGAGCGGTGTGGCGTGAAATTATTGCATAGTTCAGTCTACCATCCGCTGTCTAACTCGATAGAAAAGCTTCACTCCGTGATGGAGCGAGTGTTAAGAGCAAACCTGTGCTTAGTTCACCGGACTACTCGAGGCCTTTCATAGTCCAATGCGACGCTAGTGATAGAGGCATGGGGGCAGTTCTTAGTCAAAGAGATGAGGGGGATCAAGAGCATCCCGTCCTCTATGTTGGCCGGAAACTCACCCTTCGCGAGCAGGTTTACAGCGCTAGCGAAAAGGAATGTGCGTGCTTGGTTTGGGCAGTCCAGAAACTGGCTTGTTATATTGCCGGAAGCAAGTTCATTGTGGAAGTGGACCACTGTCCTCTCACCTGGCTACAGACCATGTCCTCTAAGAACGGCCGCCTGCTGCGTTGGAGCCTCGTTTTGCAACAATATACGTTTGAAATACGCTACAAAAAGGGTGTACTCCATGGCAACGCTGATGGCTTAAGTCGATGCCCCTGACGCGAGAGGATGTCTCGAGAACTCTGGCATTTTTTTTCCTGACCTAGACAAGAGCTAGTGATTGTTTTTTTTTTACTCTTTTAGGTGTACTTGTTTGAAAACGTTGAAGACACGGCTATCCAGGGTTTCGGGTTCAGTGTGCTTCCAGTGTTGTTGTTTTGTGTCACCTTAAAGTGTGAGTAACATTTTGAATAAATTGTGTATTTCCTTTAATATCAGTTAAAGGGGAAAATTGCCTGGTGGAGTTTGGCGGAATTGTCCGGCGCTCACCGGCTGAGTAGTTGTGTTTTCATGTGCGTATGTGACGTCTGTTGAGCCCTCAATGAAGCAGGTGTTGCCCTCTACTTCATCAAAGACGGTCGTCACCAAACCGACTGCCGGCGCTGATCTCTCCGGACAGTGGCTGCAAACCTCAGCCCATCGAGATCTTCACCCCCCCGCGCGAGAGACTGTTACGACCGGCCCTGGAGAGCCAAGCAGGGAGAGTTTGGGGGAGAACCGGTTCTTGACCTGACGGTGTCGTCCACCCCCACCTCCCCATTCGGGTTCCTCCTCGCCGGGAGAGCTATGGGGTCTGCTGTGCGTTCGTGACCATATTTGGTAACATTTTGGGGCGCCGGGACCATATATGGACCTCGTGTTGGGTTGTGCCACTCCTTGTGTTGTGAGAGGTGTTTTCCCCTCCCTCGTGGCCGAGGTGCCGGCGACACCGTATTGGCTGACGATGCGGACAAGACGCCCAGTGTCAACAACGTGGCGCTATAAAATGCCGAAGACGTTTTGTATCACACGCACTCTTCTCTCTTTGGGTCAGTTGACCACTTCTCCACATGTAAATATATCTCTGTTGTTCGTTCGGGCGCTTCTCGCTGAATTGTTGGACGATGGATCCTGCGATGGGGCCAGCTACCGAAAACAAGACCGGCAGGACCCGGAGTCCCAACAGCGGGTATGTGCCACAGGTGATTGACACTTAGTATCTACCCAGGAACGACGACCACACACATGGGCAATTTTAACGCGCTAGAGTTAAGAAATACCCGACATCGATAGCTTCAACCCAACGAATGGTAAGAATAAATGCCAGGGTCTCGGCTGGAATCGAACCCAAGCATTCTGCGTGGCAATGAAGCATTGTACCATAGAGCTACGCCAGGTCTCAGAACAGCTTTTCAAATAGACGATAATCATCGTGAAACGTCAATAGTAGTTGCAATGCTGCCTACCCAACTTATTAAGCATTACATATATAGATAGAGCCGTCACGTCAGGTTAACGTAAATTGTGGTTAGTTGTCATGCACTGAAGTTGATTTATGTAGCAGCGTCCAGGGCCAGTGTCCTTGCGAGCATCAGCGCTTCATCAGCTTCTGGTGTGGCCAATACGCGTGTTACAGTTGGCATCGTTGCGCAAGTGCAAACAACTGGTTATATGAACATCTGCAACTCTTCATCTTAGGTCTGTGCGTGAAACATTCGTATATATATTTGGCGTCATTTCATGACGTGTCGCTCAACAAAAAAATTGCAACATCGTCACCTTCTTTACGGATGCTTCGCATAAGGTCGATTCCAAGGTACGTGGGATCTGGCGATTTTTTTTAGGTGCGAGGGTCGGCGTAGTAGGCTCAGTGATTATTGATGATATTTCGTATATTTACATTTGTCATTTTTCACTGTTTTTTGTTCACTTGGGTATATTAACAGTGTTCCTGTCAATAAATTTAAGTTGGAAGTCGGCGCTTGCGTCTTCCTTTTCCTGTCCGCCATGTATTTTTTGGCGCTGTCAAACCTTAAGTATGCTAAGCCAACTAGCCCAATCCGCCACTTATTACGAAGGCCACAGTTCATCGTCATCAACTAATTAAGTGCACATATTACCCTGCAATAGCGAGTACCTAGCTTCTAGAAAGAATGATGCATGATGGCGTATCCAATTAGACAAAAAATACAATTTTTCGCCAAGTGGGTACCTTGCAAGCATACCTGTGTTTTATAGAAAGTTTGCCATTGGTCCATTTTCGTTGGACCACTACAGCACCAAAGATGGACGTTGTGTTCTCATACTGGCTTTCGCAGCAACTCGAAAAGCTTTCCTGATCTTTATTCATGTTCTTTTCAAAGGGTCTGCTTGTGTAATGAGTTATTTAGCTATCATGCCGTCCGAATAATTGGTGAATGGGCAAAATTAAGTGCTTTAACGTAGGCGCTCCACCATAGTTATATCACTACTTCAATTTCAATGCACAATTTCGGTTCAAAGACTTTTATTTGCCACCACGCAAAGCACGATCCTGTCCAGATAGTGAAAACTTGGGCACAAATCGACAGCCAGTTTCGGTGCAGTAGATCAAGTCATCTCGAACACAAGTTTCACCAGTACTTCGAGTACAAGATGATGCACACGTGCTTGTGTGCCAACTTTGATGTTCAGACTAGCTCCGAAGTCCTTGCCACGAGTTTTGATACCACAAAACTGGCTGCGGAGGTCGTGAAGTGAACGAGATCCCTGCTAAAATAAGCGCTCTGCGCCAGGCTGTTGCTTCGGAAACTGTAGCTTCATTCACGATCGGGTCCCGTTGGCCGTCAGTTAACCACCTGAGCAGTAGAGTGTTTGCGCTAGGTTAAAAGAATGAAAGTCCTGCCGGGTAAGCTTCACCAAGCAGTTACCGAGTAGTGGCGTCGCGGACCACGGTCACGTGGCGAGCCCAGCTTACGGCCGCGATCTTGCATACTTGACTTGGCACGTGGCGGCTCAGTCGGCTTCGCCTCAGCGGCCCGAAGATAAGCCACAGGCTCCTCTTCTTGCTCAGTGGGAGTTTCATCGGGCCAGCAGTACTCGATGCGGGGCTCTGATAAGGTGGCCCTCTCCCCACTCGGTGAGACATGCTCGCATCCTCCCACGTTCAGGCTTTTCAACGCAATGGCACTATAGACGCAGGTAACCTTCGGGCGCGCGCCTGTATGGTTGCTGGCCTGGCTTGCAACCAGCTTCTCGGCCGATTCCTTTGCCGGATCAGTGGTTTCACTTACCGGCTGGCCTGCCTTGGAGGCAGCTTTTTTTTTCTTCTGCAAAAGCTGGTCAGCGATCTCAGAATCCGGTTCAGCCGGCAGGTCTGGCGAAAATTCGCCGGAGTCGCTGGCTCCGACTGGTGTCTCGGTAGTCTGACTCGACGGGGGACGCATGCCTTCCCGCGTACGTCGTCCGCCTGGTGGCGGAGGCGTCGGACCATTCCGGAAGTGTGGCATGTGACGTCGCACCGGTGGAGGCGGAGTCCAAGCAGGGCTTGCGGAAGGTGTGGCTGCAGGGACTATTGGCTCCAGGGTTGGGCGTGGCACGTACATGTTCGGAGCAGTGCCATAAACAAACGCTGGTTTCAGCCAAAGTGGTAGTGGTGGCGTTGTGTAGCCAAACCCACGGCCGTATGCCACGTCATCCGTGGGAAGTGTAGGACCAGGAGTCCATGGGTACGATGGGGGAAGACGCAGGAGCTTCTGGAGTCGGGCAGCACTCGCAGCCGGGTCGATGTCATATGGAGTCAGTGGGTCTGAAACTTCCAGCACGGGAACCGGCGGGGGCAGAAATACCCCTATAAATTCCGGGGGAGGTAGATAGACAGGCCCGGGAGCCGGTAGGCCTGTTTCGATGGGAGACCAGTAGGTGCATTCCAAAGGTATCTCACCAAACTGGCCCGCGGTGGCCATTGTGCGAGGCGTTCTCTCAAGGCGGCCGAACGGAACAAATTAGGCCTTCTGGTATTGGTCGCGCAAGGATCGCGTGGCTCGGGCCAGCACGTTTGCGTCGTTTTCTTTTCGTAATCAAACGTGCCCCCCAAATCTTGGCTTGTGTTTGTCCAGAAAAGGAAGAAAAAATTGGGCCACCATTCTTGGCCCAATCAAGGGTACGTGGCTTTTGATTCATGAAGTCATCATCATCTTCGTATCAGTTTGGAGAAAAAAAAGCACTGAAATGTTAGGCAAGATATGCGCTATAGAAACGGAGTAACCGTGCAACAATTTTTTTGAAGGGCATTTTGACTAACAAATCAACTTGCCAAATTCAATAAAAGGCTACACTGGTCTAGGTTAATCGCGATTTTACAGCGCAGGCTGTTATGAGATAACAACATGGTTTACGTGCGCGCGTAGTTGTTCACCGCCACAACCTGCGTTCGTAACCGGAATTATTCGATCATATCAGCTTCGAAACTGCGTTCCGAAACCTGGAAATGCCATCGGCCGACTTAGCGGGAGTGAGCACATCGTCTCGCCATCTGGGAGTGACAATACAAAACACTGCATCGCCACTTGCGCTTTTTTAAAGACCATAGTCTTTCTTTACACTTACAAAGTTCCTTGTAAGTGTAAAACAGGTACCATGCTTCTGCGAAGAATGACGAAGGATGGCATAGTGAATGCTGGCCTACTACACGTTGATTAATGGCGTAGTGGGTACCGTGCAAGTGTGCGTTATAGTTACCTAAAGAGTGTTTAAAAAGGCTCTGAAAGGCTGCTTTTCTAGCTTTTGTCGTGACGCGTGTTGCGAGTTTTGCAAAGGCCTGGCGTTTTTTTTTTCACACAGGAATGTGCTGATTACACCACAAACATTGAGTGAAGTGAGGTCTAATCAGTCCGTCCCTATATGCGATGTAAAAAAAAAGAACGGAAGAGATTCCTTATATCCACCGGCTGTCGCACAACTTGAAAAAAAAAAAAAATGCATGGCGACTGATGTTTTATCAGCGCCTAGTAAGCTGATCAGTCTTTGAAGACAAACAAACATTATGAGGGAACAGAAAAAACGTAAAATAAAGTGCCTTTGCCTGTACCAACGAAGTATAACAGGCGTACACCCAATTAAAATAAAATAAATAGGGCGTGTGCACATACACGATTTTGTTGAAGAGAAAAAAAGAGCCCCGCTGCAGTGGTTTAGTGGCTAAGGTACTCGGCCGCTGACCCGCCGGTCACGGGCTCGAATCCCGGCTGCGGCGGCTGCATTTTTGATGGAGGCGGAAATGTTGTAGGCCCGTGTGCTCAGATTTGGGTGCACGTTAAAGAACCCCGTGTGGTCGAAATTACCGGAGCCCTCCCCTACGGCGTCTCTCATATTCATATGGTGGTTATGGGACGTTAAACCCCACATATCAATCAATCAACCAGAAAAAAAAAGAAAAAAAGAGGTGAAAAAATTTTACCGATTAGTGCCACTCCAGCCACGGGAACGGACCCAGCCAGCGCAGATTTATTCCTTGAATTGTTACAAGTATGTTCGACACTCTTTACTGACAGAGGTTGATTTCTCGTAGTTCTTGCTCCGCCAAGGGGGCTCCATACCCTTTGGCTCTCTATCAGTGCTCCAAGAACTGGTTCTGTAGTGTTTTGGCAGTCCTGGCAACTGCAGCTTCATTCCCTGTTTTCTCTCTGCTTGCCTTGGAGTCTTCATACCAATTCGATATTTTTTACTGGTCTAGAAGAATGTATTAAACTCCCAAGTAGAGGCGGTAGGAAACCGCCTCCAATCCCCTCTCCCTGATTTTTCTCTTTCCCTCCCCCGTCCCCTTTGTCCCTCCCTCCCTCCCTCCCTTGTCTTTCTCTTGTGATGGGTTCTCATTATTTTGCCGTATTAATTCTTATTGATTCTAGCTTCTGTCTTAATGCATTCGTTTTGTTATTGATGTTCTAAGGATATAACTGTGTGTTGGAATTTTCAGTAACAAGGTTGGGTATCCTCTTCGTGCTCTTTTTTATTTTCTGGAAACAATTTAGGTCTTCCTAATATGTCTAACTGAACTGTCTGCGGATTTTAGGTGGCGAGAGATAAGGCAATCTTATCAAACTGCCCAGGCATTTCTGGGTCGCTTTTTTATCATATTCAATGGTTAAGGAACTTATTCTAAATTTTCGGTTTTCTCGTTCCCCGCTTCTGCGTGGGAGATCAAATGGGGTGGATTTTGAGATGTGGTGCTCTTAGAGATGTTATGTGAGAGGGGTAATGAGTGAAAAAAAGAAAAAAAGCAAAAGGCGGGGCGAGGGGGCGGCGGTTTACTTTTCCTCTACTCTCCCGTAATTTAATCTTCAAGGCCTCCTTCATCGGTTGTTCAAACATGCCAGCCGGAGGTGACTGCGCACTATTACCCCTTGGTGTCAGGGTGGGTATTCTAGGCCTAATTAGGAATTAGGAATGCGCTGCCACAGGAGAAAACCCCATCTCGCCGGGCCATTCACCTCGTAGCATCGGTTGTGGATTGACGTACATGTTTCAGTACTTGCCTTGTTATGCCGTTTCTCTGGTGGGTGTTAACCTTTGTCTCGATATTGCGTAGGTCTGGGACCCACCATGTGGACTGCACGTCCGAGATCAACCTTCAACCCCGCCTATTTGTAAGGTGACGGCTTGGGTCTGTGATCAAAGAGGTGGCCCCCAGGGTCCGATCTACCAACAACCCGAATAAGGCGTAAGACTTTTGTCCTCATCTGATTCCTCCATCAATGGTTGAACTGCTTGACCGTCCATCCCGTTGTGCATTATTGACCCCTCCCGACGACGAAATCGACTGAAGGATGAGCCTTTTGACGTGCTTCTTAAGTGAATTTCACACAACCATGGCAATCTCTTTGAGCACCACATGTCCATTTTATATTTGTAAAACTACATCATTAATAATTTTGACTATTTTAAAATTTCCACACTCTCCTCGTCCTGAAGAATCTCCGGTTTTGAGTTGGATGGTTTCGTGTACTTTTTCTCCAATAAGTTAATTTCTTTTGTTCGGGCTTTACACGAGTCTGGGTAATGGTCGAATGTTGTTGCTTCATCACCGCAAATGCATTTTTCGCGATCTGTTATAGAAAATGTTTTAAAATAAAAGGGGAAGTGCCCGTGACCTGTTACTGCTTGGACGGACCAATAGTCTAGTGGAAATGTCTTGGGAATCTGCTTTACGTTTTTTCTCTATTGATATTTGGTGTGTCGTCCGCGCAGCGCATGTGCCATCACAGCGGATATCGGCACGGAAGCCCCTACAGTGGCAACCATCAGCGTCGACGCAGTATGCGGCAGAGCCCAGGGGGCGCACCTCGCGCCCAACATATACGCCGCCGGAGGATCACTGCTGGACATTGGGCATGGTGGCACCGCAGAAATGTAGTCTAACCCTTTCGTCTTTCTTGCGCAGTTGCTCACCACACTGCTGCTGATACCGGCTGCGCAGGATGGAAGAAGCGAACCACAACGAGGCAACACAACGCAGCTCGTCGCCGAATCCAGTTTTGGTGTGTCGTCCGCGCAGCACATGTGCCATCACAGCGGATATCGGCACGGAAGCCCTACAGTGGCGACCATCAGCGTCGACGCAGTAGGCGGCAGAGCCTAGGGGGCGCACCTCGCGCCCAACATATACGCCGCCGGAGGATCACTGCTGGACATTGGGCACGGTGGCACCGCAGAAATGAAGTCTAACCCTTTCGTCTTTCTTGCGCAGGTAAGAAAACGTTATGGGAAGTGCTATCGATCGAACGATTTGTGCCTACTTGTGCTGCCGTGCCCAAGGCTGCTATGTTTATTTTTGTATGACTTGTCATCTCATGTTGTGAACGTATTGTTGCTTGCTGGCGATGTAGAGACAAATCCCGCTCCAGACTTAGCGCACATCGCGAAACAACTGCAGGTAATTGCAGGCGACTTAATTGATTGATATGTGGGGTTTAACGTCCCAAAACCACTATATGATTATGAGAGACGCCGTAGTGGAGGGCTCCGGAAATTTAGACCACCTGGGGTTCTTTAACGTGCACCCAAATCTGAGCACACGGGCCTACAACATTTCCGCCTCCATCGGAAATGCAGCCGCCGCAGCCGGGATTCGAACCCGCGCCCTGCGGGTCAGCAGCCGAGTACCTTAGCCACTAGACCACCGCGGCGGGGCTGCAGGCGACTTAAAAGAAATAAAAGAGGAGAGGCTAACCGCCATAGATAAGAAACTAGAATTGCTGGACTCGCTTCATAGCAAAATAACAATCTGCACGGATCAAGTAACGCACCTGCAAAAAGTAGTTTCAGACCTTGAACTAAAGCTTGACGACCTGGAAAATCGTTCTAGAAGAGGGAACCTGATTGTGTACGGCATTCCCGAAAAGCACGATGAGGATGATGTCTCACTCGAACAAACTGTTTACAACACGATTATTAAGAAAACACTGGATCTAGAGCCTGTAGCAATCGAAAGAATTCACAGGCTCGGAAAGCCAGACGCTAATAAAACCAGGCCAGTTATTTTAAAACTTTTCGACACGCGTGACAAAATCAAAATCCTAAAAAACTGCCAAAAGCTCAAAGGAACTAAATTAGCGATTAGTGAAGACTTTTCAGCTCGTGTTCGTAGCATAAGGAAAAAGCTGTGGGATAGCGCCAAATCTAACAAAGAATCTGGTGACAAAGTATGGTTGGTATACGACAAGATTAGTATCAATCGAGTACTTTACCGCTGGGATGATACCGCGGGCGATAAGGTTGAGATCAAAACAGAATGCAATGCTCCCTCCAATCAAAAAAACCCAAAAAACCAAGAAGGAACACCACCCATGCGCACTCGCCGCCATCAACCACGTCCAAAATAGTTTTTGTCAATGTGAATGCACGCAGCATACTGAACAAACTCGACTCGCTAGAATCAGTACTTCTTACTGTCGACCCTGACTTCTTG